TTCCGCTTCGTTTTGTTCTATTGCAAATCATTTCATCCAAAAAAGTGTTCCGGGATCCAAATCAATTTATGGTATGTTTTTAATTAGGCGCACGGGGAAGCCCAATAAAAATACTTGTCCCTCGCCACTGAAGCATATTTTCTAAACATCCAAGAGTGTCTTTGGATTGATAATGGCAAAACTAACCTTTTTTTTTTTTTGACAGCAAAACTGATTTTCATTCTAATTCACTTTTGTAAACTGAAATTAGAATAAAAATCAGTTGTGTAATGCAATTTATGTTTATATTGGTACTCATAAAAAGTTAATTGAAAAAACTAAAATTTGTTTGGATGATTAATTGAAAAGTGAGTTTAGTTACAAAATAATTAAAAAAAGTATGAACTTCATCAAACAGTTAAATGTGATAATAGTTAAAAAATACCTAAAATTATTATAATAAAATAAACGTAGTTTTTTTTGTGAAAGCGTAAAATAAAAATATTTGTTACCGAAAAAAATTTGAAAACACTTTATAGATGAATAAATTTATATTATGGATAAATATTAATATAAATTAAAATTCATCTGGTCTTTAATTAAAGTAAATAAAACACATAACTAATTATAATAAGTGAAGGGAGAAGAGTGAGGGAAAAAGTAAAAGGCAAATTTGGGTAGGTGTGTTTTGAATGAGCATTAACTCAGGCCTAATGGTAAATTGCCTTATTAAACACCCCAAAAGCAGCTCTCCTCAACGTTAAAACGCATCTTCGTTTTAGCCAGAAGTTAGTTAGGTTTTTGGATTACTCCATCCGGTATCCCAGGGAAATAGGCGTCTTTCAGCCGTGACAACGTCCCCAGACTAATCCAAAAACCATACACTTTTAAGCCCATACAAACACCAAAAAAAAAAGCCACAAAAGCCCCAGTTAAGGTTTCACACATTCCCATACACTTTTTGAGGCCCAAATGGAGATGAGTTCCTAAGTATAGGAAGTAAGTTTAATGAGGGGCTTAGTGGAATGTTTAAGTTGAAACAACCAAAGTGGGAAATTCCCCACCACATACATAAAACATCACTGATTCTAAGTGAAGAGGTTAATGTTAAATAATGATGATTTATTAATGCTTAATGGTGATTTAATTAGGCGTGGGATACATCATGTATCTAACTGAGTGGAGTTTAAGAGGGCAGCGCTGGTCCTATCCCATCCCTTAATAATTTGTGTTAAATGCAAAAGGCCTTAACACGTGAATCTAGTGTGGTCCCACCATTTCATTTATTCGGTGGACATGTATAATATCAGACCTTTTAATTCATTCTTTGTAACTGCTAGTTTTGAAGGAAGTTGTGTTCAAGGTCAAAAAAAAAAAAAAGGAAGTTGTGTTCAACCCCGACTCGTTAATCTTTTTTTTTTTTTTTTTAATTCAATCTGAATTTCTAGAACCTATACAGAACTGCGTTAACATCACTTGGAATTGGTTAATTAATATTACTTCCGCTCCTTAATATAAGACCTTATTTGACTTTTAATTTGGTTCTAATTATAAGACCCCAATCCATTTTGTCTCTCATATTTATACATTTTTTTTTAAATAGCCCTTCTAATAATAATAGTTCTAGCCAATATACTTAATAGCAAGGATATTTTAGGAATGACAATACTTATTTATTACAAGTAACTAACGTAACTTACTTCCTTAATCTTCTCAAATTAATCAACTAGATCTTATAATTAGGACCAGATGTAGTATCATCAATGATTCCACCATTAGGGGAAAATTCCTTTCTTTTCTTTTTGGGATAATGACAGAAAAAGAAACTGAAAATTATAAATTCCAAATCAGATTTGGTAATACAACTTTATTTGGTATTGACAAGTCTAAATTTACAAATAACAACAAATTTTTGTTGACATTCCTTATTTGGTATTTACAAAATTTCAACCTCTTTTTTTTGGTCATTGTCCCTTTCTTTTTTCATCCGTGGGTACAAATATATCGTGGGCTTCTTGTGGCTCTTAGGTTATGTTGGTCCAAGAACAGGCCCAATGAATATGCTCAGACTTAGCGGATTATTCTCCTGCAAGAAGCTCTACCCTAAGGCCTAGAACTGCCCAATAAAAATTGGGATATGGGTACTTTGCTTACTATTTTATCTTACATTTTTTCTTGGACAAATATAATTTTTAGTAACTCAAATTTGTTCTCATTTTAATTTTGATTCTTCAAGTTTCAAACCACAAGTTTTGGTTTTTCAAGTTTATTTCATTTAAAATATTGGTCCCTATCATTTAATAAAATCCTGAACCATTTGTGTAGACGACTAAAAATATAGTTTAAAACTTAAAAGACCAAAACCAATATGAGAATAAACTTGAGAGATCAAAAATTATATTAATCAATTGATTTTTGAAGTGGAAGAATCAGTACAAGCTCAAATCAAGGTAGGAGGATGACAATTAAGAATCCTATCTATATATATAATATTAATGCAAAATAAAAATCCATTAATAACTGAAACTTTAAAGTATGTTGCTCAATGTCCCTAATTATCATTATCCCAAATCAACGTCGTTCACCGTACAACCAAGGAAAGAGAAAGACCATATTAATGAAATCCACGAAACAATTCCTCATGAAGCATTAGAGGCCATGGAGCAATCTAACCAGGGCTGGTATCTTCAATTTCACTGAACTTTCTTGCATCCTCTTTGTAGATCTTTTTTATGATTTGTCGGTTACAATTAAGGGGATGTTGTTAAAAAAATCCTAAAACATATTGTTTTTTAAAGGATGCAAGAGAGATGCCCAAAAAGTGCAGCGAGAACTCTAGCTAGGACAAGTGCAGCGAGTTCAATTTAGGCGGGACCAAGTATATTAATATAATTTTATTTTTATATTTTTAATAATTCAATATTTTAATTTGTACACAATTTAAAATAAAAACCATCTCTTAATTGTCACTTTTTTAAAAACATTGTTTTTATTTAAAAATTTTAAGGTTAAACTGTTAAAATTATATTTGTGCGATGTACGTCTGGTCACAATAATGAGTAACATGATACCCACAACTGCAATAATCAATTGATTCTACGGTGCAATATTCTTGGAAATCTACGTTGATGGCAAAATAAGTGATGTGAAGCATTTAAAGATGTATTACAAGAGAAGGGTAGATTGTGCGCGAACATTAGAGACAGCGAATTAAATTCGCCAATAATTATTGCTTGAAGAATCTTACATTACAAAATGAAGTGAGTTTGAAGTTCTTAAAAAACATCTATTCCGACTGAATCATCAAATAAATGTTGTTGTTACTTCTGCGCTTTTGTGGTATACTTCCTTCAATTTTTACTATAAAAACTAATTTGATATTTAATTTGGTTCTAAATATAAGACCGCAGTTTAATGCCTTTCATGTTCATCTATTTTTTTTAACGTAGTCCTTGTAATAGTTTAAAGGTTTTATCGAATGATAATTCTAAATAATACACATAGTTAGTAAGAGTATTATAAGAAAGATAACATGTACTACCTCCGGTTCTTAATATAAGAGCTCTTTTAACTCTTATTTTGATCCTAAATATAAGACTCCAATCTACTTTATCTTTCATATTTATCTATTTTTTCTCAAGATAGTTCTTATAATAATAGTAGTTCTAGCCAATACACTTGATTAGTAAAGATATTACAGGAAAGATAAAAATTATTTGTTACAAATAACTAATTTAACTAGTTTTCTTAATGTAATCAAATTAGTCAACTAGTTCTTATATTAAGGACCAAAAGTAATATTTGTTACAAATAACTAATTTAAAAAACTTTCTTAATTTACTAAAATTAGTCAACTGCATTTTATATTAAAGAATGGGTAGTGTTTCTTTAGATAATAAGAGCTAGTTTTATGCTTTATCTTGTACGCTCGTTTGGGAAATTCATCTCTTTCATTGGAAGTTTTGGGAAAGCCAGAAAAACCCTAGGCTTAGCGATTAATGGTGCCATTCAAAAAACATGTATACATAGCGAGTGTGATGGTAAGCTTAAGAAGCCCTATAGTTTAAGATGAAAGGGGATATCTTAGTCTCAAGTATTCTTAGTAAGAGAATCATTTTTATATGTTTTACCCTTTTTTCCTATTTCTTATCTGTTTCATATTTATTAACAACTTAGTTCTCAGCCAGATGACTTTTATTACCTCTTAGCGTTTTGATATTGTAACTGTAATTTATGCACTAGTGACCTATCACTTATTCCCACCTTTTTAAATGACAAATACAACTCATTCCTCAAATTGTGTGTAAAAAATTTGCAATAATCATCAATAACTGTCTATTACCACACTAATTAATGGTAAAAATAATTGGGTAATGAACACGTTTTAGAAGTCAACATCACCAATGACAAAACACATTGCTTCTAGTAATGCCAACAATACATTTAATTTCTCATAGTAAATCTAGAGGGTTGAAACTTATTACACGGGCAAGATGAGCCTCACAACATTTGTTAAGTAATAAGAACCATCCAATTTGGCCAAAAAACACAAAAATACGAACCATCCAATTTGGCCAATAATTTACAGAAGACACTTGATGAGTTGAGCCACGCAGAATCATGACTAACCATGCGTGTAATCCTCCATGCACATGCCACATATTTTCGGAATATAATTTCACATTATTGCACAACTCATTCTGCATATTTGGTACCGGAATATAATTTCAAACCCAAAAAAATGAGGAGAAAAACCACTCTCGATCCTCTAAGCTCGTCCTTCCTTCTCACTAACGGCTGAAGCCTGAAACTAATGTTAACAGCTGCTCTTTTTCATCCAATTTTTCTCCAGACTTTGCCACGGCCAAAATATCAAAGTTCACACTATTTATCACACTAGACCCTCGCCGCAAACGAGTTAATATCGTGTTAGATCAATTATGTAACATACCCACGCACACGCCTCATTTTGTATCTCCACGAAACACCCAAGAGCGATATTTGGAATTTCGCACGCGACCTAGCTGAAATGTCAATTCGTGCAATATATATGTAGTGAAACATGAAGGAGGGTTTCGAAACATTGAATCACCATAAGTTTCACCATTATGTACACTTAAAAAGCTAGCTAGTAGCTCCCCTGACTGAAATGGTAAGCTTAATCTGGTGCAGCAGCTCCACCTGGCAAATAGTTTTCTCCCTTGTGCTTCCAATCAATCACACAGCAAGATTACATACTATAGATTCTTCAGACAAGTCGATAAACAAAAGTACATCAACGACGACACATCCTTCTTATAACATCAAAATATCCAACAACGTCTGAATTACTTATTGCTACCCGATCGGAGCTCATAAGTGTACCGAAAATGCCAGCTGCAGAAATATTCGTTCTAAATATAATATATATTTATATATATAAAGCTACCAATGCTTACACCATCACACTGCACAGTCCACTTTAAATGCGTTCGTCTCCCTTGTTTGGAACTCGTGGCCTTTTCTTGTTCAGGTCCTGACCATGCTAGCGTTCAATATATATAATGCAATAGCTTGCAGGTGAGATGAAACACATCATGGGCCTAGACGGTAGTGACCATCTGGCATGTAGTGACCATCCATATAGAGAGTTGCGTTCTGTGGATGAAGCCCATCCATCACCATGAATTGCATGTCTTCAGATGGCTTCCAGTGCCTCTTCCTTTGATTTATGAACCAGTTATTTATTTGCTTCTGGTCCAATCCAGTTGATTCAGCCAACGCCACCTTCTCTGACTCCTATATTACACATATTACACAACATTACACACACACACACACATATATATAACTGTGCCGTTGATCCATCAAGCTGATTGTTAAGCAGTTAGATATAATCGTTTTTTTTTTTTTTAACGTACCGAAGGATAGGGCCATTTGTAGTGTAATTCCCACCAGTTGAGTAGCTTTTGCCTAGCATCTTTGGGCAGTTTTCCTTTCTTCTTTTTCTTGGAAAGTTCTTGCTTGAGGCTGCTTAAGTAACCGCTATACTTCCTCAGTAAGTGGTTCTTAAGTTCACGGTCTTCAGCTCTGGGATCAATCTCAGGCAATTCTGTTTCTCCGCCACTATTGTCTTGATCCTCTTCGGACGAACCAACCCCTTCACATTTATCATCTGCGTAATTGCTCGACATACCAATGCACACGTCTGTAAGTTCGTTCCTCATAATTAAATTTAACAATCAACTAAATAGTTTGAGTAAGGATCATCAGTACAATGTGCCCATATTACAATACATTATTCCCAACGGAATTTCTTCAGCTCCCAGCATTTGGAGTTCATATTTACATAATACCAAACAGATAAAAATATCTTTCCACTGGAAAGACAAAAGTATAATTATTTCCATCCTGTTGAAGTAACATGCAAGTACTAAATAATTGTAATGTGAAATCACTCATCGATGATCTTTTTATTACCCTCATGTTCCAAGAGAATATGAAAGCAGCTTCACATTGTCAACAGAATTTATTACTGACCAATAATTAAAAGAAATATAACATGCTTATTACAGAACAATCAATGATTTTAAACGGAGAGACTTGCATCAATGAAGAAATCGCTCTCTTCTAATTCCATTGTAAATTCCAGGAGAAAAATAAATCGGCGCACAAAATAGTATTTGTTACCTCGATCCTAATTAAGAAGCACCGGCTACCACGCATAGATATTAGATAAGACAGGAAAAGCAATAACAGGATACTAATTAGCCCAACAAATTACTTCTTACTTGGTTAGCTAATTTTGGTTAGTTGTTTATATTATGTCATCAGTATTATATTAATATTAACCATGATGACTCGTGAGCTTCGTGGAAAGAAACGAAATCGCAGAAAGTAAGACGGGTTAAATTTATTGCTCAACTGACAAGGCTGAGGGTGATTGGAATAGCATCCAATGTGATTACCAATTATAATTTCAATTAAAAAATAGCAGTAAATAATTGTTGTGCCATTTATAAAGTACTAAATGCAAGACTTGGGGGATCGAACACGAAGAGGCCAGAACTGACAACTACAATGATGAGTGTGTATGTGCGGTAATGGGAATGTTATGCTACAAAACCCAATAAGTCGGCCGGTAAACTACAAACACAATACGAATACATTAGTAAAAAAACAGAATGTGTTAGCAGAGAAACCCTAGATAAACGATTTTGTCAGAACTCACAAATCTAGGAGAGAGCCGAATAGGGAAGCGTTTGAAATTGTAAATATATCATTCCAAAAAAGAAATTGTGGATATGAATCATATCCCAAAAAGAAAGGAAATTAAAAAAAAATGGTTAAATGATATATGAAAGAAGGAAAATAGTAGTAGCACTTTTTTTTCGGGGGAAAAAAAAAAGCAGATTGGGTTATGTGCTTAATCAAACCTCATCTTTCTCTCTTTCTGGGTCCCTCCCCAGAATATGAATAGGTATCTGTAGGTGTAATATTTCAGTCAAAGTTTCTTACCTGAGAGTTCAGCGCATTACTCAAGTTTACGAGTTTCAAAACTCAGACAATCGGAACTGTAAGTTTGCGAACAGTAGTCATTTGAAAGAGACATGCCTGATTATAGGTTTAATTCCGAATCTGTTTACTTCTTCAGCGGAAAGAAAGACAAACTCTAGCGGAACAGAATTTGAAGGTCGGAAGATGGAAGAGTGTAGCAAAAGAGAAAGAGAGAGATAAAAGTACCAGCGAAGATGCGGAGGGATCCATTGCAAAGCATATTGAGTTGAGTTTCAATCCTGCGCATGAAATCCATGGCTTCTTGGATAGGCCTAGTCAATTCCTCTCGATACTTCACAAGCATGTCATAATAAGCTTCCTGATGATCATTCATAGCAAAAAGATATCGATCAACAAATATTAGCAAGAAAACCCGAATCAGTTAAGCAGCAAGAGAAATCCATTAAATTATAAGGGGTGAGAGAAGCGCACCATGAATTGGTCCAGTTCAGGGTCCTTCGAAACTTCCCTCGAAGCGGATGAAGATCGCTGCCGTGCCTCAAACTCCTGGCGAGCAGCAGCCAGACGCGCCACCACTTCCGGTGGAGCTCCCACCTGAAAAAATAAAACCTTTATATAGTAACAGATACAGACAAAAACGAAACCAATAGGAGTAGTTGTAGCTACTGGAGAGAAGAACCATATCAGAGACTGAGTCCAGTCTAAACTGTTACAAGTTAATGATGAAATGTCGAGACACAAATTAAGGACCTTTTGGCAATCCATGTAGGCTTGTAGAAGATTGGAATACTGAGGATGAGCAATGATTTTAGCCTTGATAGCTTCAACCTCGTTGGAGCTGTCTCCACCTCCTCCTTGGTGGTGCATCATGTGAAGATTTCCTCTGAGTAGAGGGTACTGAAAAATCTGAGCATGGTGTGAGGTATTGGCCTCGGTTTTAACAGTGGGGTGAGCCTGATCGGATTGATGAAAGCAGTCGGAAGCACCGGACTGAAGATGGAAAGTATTGATGGGCAACTGATGAGCAACGCTCGAACCCCCACTGCTACTTCTTCCGTACCCAATACCACCAGAAGAGTACAAGAAATTAGCCCTCCCACCATTGTTTTCGCTCAGATTATTATTATATTCCTCCATCCAATATTCTAATACCAAGCTCTCCCAACTAATCAATCCGACTAAGCAACAGTTTGGACCACTAAAACACAAGAGAAGAAGACCAGAAAAGGAAACCCTACGTTATCTATAAACAAGGCAACAACTTAAAACCCTAAAACTGAGAAGAGATTGCGAACGTTTAGAGCACGGGATCAGGACCACAAGTGACGCTCTATATATTCATGGGGAAGAGCGGAAAGAGATAAGGGGATGGGTTGAAAGATTTGTGAAGCGAAGAAGGAAGGGTTTTGTTATTCAGAGGAAGAGTTAGTGATTGCACCGAAGCAAGTTTTGCAGAAAGCAGAGAAGAAAGGAGGGATCATCTGAGAGGGGAAGAGTGGGACGCAGGTAAGGAATAGGAAAGAGGAGAAAGAGAGAAGAGGGAGGTGGCGCGGTCGTGCCCGGCAATGGCTCCGTATTGTGGGTGGTTGACAAGACTTCTTTCTTTGCCATATAAAAGAAATATTTGATAATTACAAAAGCAAGCTAGCCTAGTCCAGGGGATTATGCCCCACCCTATTCCTCATTTTTTAATTAAGAAATCTTTTACTCCATTTGTTTTTTTTTTCTTTTTTCTCTCAAAAAGTTTTTAACAGTATATGTTTTTCTTCCATTTTTAGCTTTAACGGATAGCGTGTAAAAAAATGTGCGTGCGGTCGTTAGAAATCAGGCGCTCGCCCTATAATATAATTACAAATAAGCATGACCTTTAATTGAGTTAACTAAACTGTTTTCCCCATTTTTGGCCAGAAAATTAATCCTTTTCCTTTTGAGAATGATTATCTCTAAAGAATTGTTTTTGTAATGGTTTAATATATTATTTAAATGCAACCCACAGAATGAAATATGCAGAAGAGTAAATACAGTTAGGGGCGTACATTGTTCTTCGGCATTTGTTTGTCTATTAGACCATTTCTTCGTTAAAACCAATAGTTATTTGGTTAAATTATATAAATCTTTTCGAATTTTGAGTTTGTTGAACTGTGATCTTTTATCGACATCTAGTACATCATCTCTAAGTGTTTGACATAATTTTAAGACCAATTCAATTTTTACCTCAAAACCACTTTAGAGTTGAGCTTTTTTTTTTTAATTGTCAACTTTTTTATTTTTGAACGTTCTAAGACTAAAAAACCTATCCAAACATGTCTATTATATTATCTTAATTGGTTGTCGCCCCAGCTTCAATTTGAAAAGATTAATCAGAATAAAAATTACTCTTACCATAGCTGAGTATGTCCATAAGTCCGAAGGTCGATTGATAACCTCTCAGGGGGTTTAACTAGTGCTTCTCTTATCTATATAATTTTTTTTTATACATTAGGGAAGTTTGCAGTTAAAATTATCAACTTCTACTGGCATCTCAATTCTCTGCAAAGCTTTTTTTTTTTTTTCTCTCCCGACAACAAGCCTTTTTATTCATTGATTGATGTTAAATTCTCCTGAGAAGATGTGACACAGAGCACACAATAGCAATGTCTTTGATGTGTTTAGTGAAACTTTTCGAAGTCGAAGGAGAAACATATAAAATAGGCTTAGAGACGAAAGAAAAATCTGACTTAGAGTGCTCTTGTGAAGGAATAATTTTGTCTGCACCACCAACCATTAGCTTAATTCGTACGTGAAAATTCGCTGCTTTTCCTTGTTTATTTCCCAGACACTTACGTCCCATCCCATTCAACGATAATATTGAGGTGCTTTTGAGTGTTCACACATCATCTTTATATGATTGGTAATGTCTTCCCGAGTTCCCGCCCAGCTGAAATCTTCGAACCAATACTCCCAAAATTGGCACCAGGGCATTCAACATTAATTATACTGAAAAGAAACACCAGGCCCAGTGCCCCGCGTTGAATGTTATTTCATTCATGAATAGATGCCATACACGTGTCCTTATGCCGTGCTACATCGACCTTGGTCAGCGATATGCAAAATATATATGTATATATTTTCATTTTAAAAAGATCAATATGAATTGCAGAAATTATCTGTCCCAGCTCTCAGGAGAAATTCACTTGCCCATTTCTTACTACGAAGAGTTTACGCATTGTTTGGTCTAATAAAAATTTACCCATCGACATTTACTATCCTCCACACACAGAGAGAGAGAGAGAGAGGGATTGATATTTCTCTACGAATGAACACGCCGTTCGACTACTTCCTCGAAGATGAAAAGCTTACTGTCACCCAAAAAAAAAAAACAAGAAAGATGATGATGAGGAGCTTCCTCTTAAGATTAAAATAAACTTTCACATCCTTCAATGATGCGCATATGGATGTATTGGAAATACATGTTTCTATAAATAAGATCTTATAATTAAGTTTGGGAGTAGTATATAAAACTTACTGTTGTTCCGCCATTGACTTAAAATGTGACGCGTCAGATACTTTGAATCATCTCCGCCCATACGTAACACGTTAGGGCATGAAATAAAGCAAATCACTTTGCCGAGTCCCATCGATCCATCCTCTATACGAAGGAGGAGTACTGACGGTTTAATCGCTTTCCCAAGTCAATAATCAATAAGTCCTATGGAAACTCGAAGGCTTGTTTGGTTGCGGTAATGTTAATTGGGAAAAAAGGACAGGATAAAAAGATATTTAGGGTCTACATATCATGTGTCTCCCTTTTAAAGCTTAATACAAACTTCAGTCCTTTAAATTATTGTTATTTTAGTTTTGGTTCTTTGGTTTTTTAAATTGCTTTTCATTTAAAACACTGGTTCTTATAATCTAATAAAAATTTTAACCATTTTGATCATAGAAGGGCCAAAACATATGATTTAAAAACTGAGAGATTGAAACTAAAATGAGTAAAAATTTCAAGGATTAAAAATTATATTAACCTTATTTTCAATAATGTTTTAACTTCCCAAGTGTTTTTCTCAGATCGTCTGATTTTTTATAAATTGACCGAAAATGTCTGTTTATATCATATTTTCCAATCTGGGGAATCCAAATAGGATCTCCCCCCCCCCAAAAAAAAACAGAGAATAGGCGTGGATGAGTCTAATAAGGGCGTCGCATAATTTAATTCAAAATATTAAAAAAATTTAAAGACTATAAATATTTTCACTTTATTATATATCCTTCAGTAAATTAAATTTCACCCGCTTCAATTCAAATCTACTCAGTCATCAACAAAGAAACCTTACACCTACACATATACTAGAATTTAAATATAAGCAATATTTTATAATATAATTTATATTATAAAATAAATTTTATATTTAGAACTGGATAAATATACTAGACGCTCATGCTTCAAATCCTTACCGGGCGAGGATCAGTTTCATGATTTAAAAGCTCAATATTAATTATCAATATACATACACACTCGTGTACGAGAAGCCGAAAACTAAATATGAGTTTGACATACAAATCTGAAAGCAGGAGGTGTGTGGATTTGTCTAAAAGTATTTTCTAAAAATAATTTTTTGTAAATTAAAATAAATTTCTCTATATATTTATTTTATATGTTTAGTTTATATCTAAATATCCCTGAAATTGTATACGCCTGTTTGGCTTTTCACATCTGGGTACCCACTAAAAAGTCCATTTACTGAACCCCGCTCTCACCGGACTGCTGTGCCGTTCAGTTTCACCGTTTTCGAAATCCTCTCCAAAAGTTCGTGTAGACAAGCCTACTTAGGAATTACCTTTGCATTTAACATTTCCAGTTAGAAAGTGCCCCCAAAATTCTTGGATCATAATGGCAATCCTCTCCCTCCGCATAGGATTTTGCATGAAAAATGAAGAGGTGTGTTTTTAAAAAGTTATGTTTTTACATAAATTTATTAAATTAATAAATTTATATGATGGGTTATGTTTTCATATAAATTAATATATTTATATGAAGGGTTGTGTAGGAAGTTAAAACATTAAATAGCCCTACATACTAAATATATTGTATTTAACAAAGGGTCATATAAAAAGTTAAAACATTAAATGAACCTACATACCAAATTTATTGTATTTATTTAAATTATGTTATTCATGAACTAACATATAGATGTGACTTTTTATTTAACAAGGTATTATTTCAAAAAGTATCTCTTTGAGACATTATTCCATTGTCTATATAAACCCTTCACTCTCACTTCATTTGTGAGATATACAACACAACATAACACAAACACCAAGATCTAACTCGTTACTTTTGTTTTTGAATGTACACAGAGATAGAGTTAAATTATCACTTTATAAAAATCATTATTGTCTTTACTTGAATTTTGAGAGTACAATCCATATTCAAGGGTCTTTATTGCATCCTGAAAAAAATCCGTCAGGCATCCCAACTTGCTCTCTATAAGACAAGTATAAGTGGAGGCGAATTAAACCTAAAGAAAAATACTACTCACATCTTAAAAATATCATGCATCGCTTTATTTTTCATCCCTTCTTCTTTTCCTCTTTACAGAACCATTCCCGCTAACACAAGCATTGAAAATACAGGAACGCAATAGATGGCCCAACGACTATACAGAGACTCGTGTCCTTGTATAGTCCACATCTCAGAGCAATTCCACATGCTAAGTTTCTTCTTGAATGCATGTATGAATACCTAAATTTTTTTTTAATTCAACATGCCAGGTTTTACATTATTTATACTTTTTACTGCGTATATTATTGGGGATATCAAATTTTACATAATAAAAATTAAATATTATCAAACTAATGTCCTTTACAGTAATTATATATTATTTAAACAATTTCGAATTTATGAAATTACTTCTTTTTGGTGCTTAATATAATACACTTTCAACTATGCTATAGGGATTAAAAAATATTTATAGTTGAAAGGTAGTTTATCTGATTAAAATGGTAAAAAAAAAAAAAGGTATTACTTCCCAATATTTTCCTTAAATTAAAAATAGTATTTTTAAATAATGTTTATTTTCCTTACATAATTTCTCTCCACAACACAGTGAATGAGAAAGAATGCAATGCTACTTGATTTGTTGTAATAGGGTTCACACGGAGGATCACGGATATATTTAAAAAAATATCTGAGAGTTAAAGTAAGGGTTTTTTATTTTTGTTTTTTTTTGTTTTTTTTTTTTTTGGGCGTGGGGGTGGGGGGCTTTGGTGTGATGATGGAATGATTCGAAAAGAAGAGGGGAAGGGAGCTGGGGATGAAAACTGGAAAGTGAAGGTGCCACTGCCTCCCATGGTCACGCACACCCACTTTCCCGGGTTAAGGACTGCGGGCCCACCCCAGGCTGCCCCCCCGAGACTCCCGCGCTACTCTCTCTCCCTCTCTGAGTCAAGCAAGTGAAGGGGGCATATGTGTGTGTGTGAAGGAGGAGATTGGACGTTTCTAACTTTTGGAACTGCCAGTGTTAGAGTCATTAACGTACTGACTTGCCAGAATCCTATTCCTCTTCACTTGTCACTCT